GTAAATTCCAAAGATCACCTAGGCCCCCATCTGTGGATTCTGACTGGACATGTAGGAACCATCTATGGATGGGGTTTTTGTTTGTTTGTTTGTTTTTCTGAATACATTTTGACCCAGATAAGGGAAATGGCTCTTCTGATTTTCCAACAGTGATCCAAAGAAAAATTTCTTATCTCCCAAGCCTGGACTCCCAGCTGAACCACAGGGCAATACTCATTCACCAGTACTCATTTTTCATTGGATTCTGTTAGTATCCATAAATTTAACCTCTAGATACTAAGTTCCTGTTTGAGACTTAAATGTGCTTAGCAAATATGATTTCTTGAATCAGAAACAAAGGGACTTCTTTTCACCTTGCTTATGTCAAAAACTATAATTTAAAGCCAAAGTATGTAGCCTTCAAACGACCTTCAAATGACCTACAAACAACACTTTCATAACCAAACATAACCAGCCTCTTAATTCAAAATATAGACTATGAACTTGATGGAGCTCATGCTTCTAGCTGTTGCATCTAAGAAATGATCAATGAATAGCCAGGGGGGAAGGGATACTCACAAGCACAGCGCCATATAGTGGATACCCTGTGTAGACCGTGAAAAAAAAGAAGTGCCTGAAGAAGTGGGTCAGGAACTCTGAGGATCCCAGGAAAACGCCCAAAGCCAGAATCACCACTCCATTCAGGATCTGCACCGCCTCCAGGAAGAAAAGCAAAAGACAAAACACCATTTTAGCTTCCTTCAGAAAGAAGAGATCATGGCTTCCAGTGGTTAAAATATGAAGCCTAATTGCTAGCGGTGAACATTTTTTCATATATTTGTTGACTGATTGTACATCCTCTTCTGAGAAGTGTCTCTTCAGGTCCTTGGCCCATTTATTGATTGAGTTATTTGGTTTGTTTTGATGCTTAGCTTTTTGAGTTCTTTATATACCCTGGAGATTAGTGCTCTATCTGATGTGTGAGGGGTAAAGATGTGCTCCCAAGCTGTAGGCTCTCTATTCACCTCACAGATTTTTCCTTTTGCTGAGAAGAAATTTAGTTTGAGTTCATCTCATTTATTGATTCTTGATTTTAATTCTTGTGCCAAAGGAGTCTGATTAAGGAAGTTGGGGCCTAATCTCAATATGGAAAGCAGTATGGAGATTCCTTGGAAATCTGGGAATGGAACAACCATTTGACCCAGCTGTCCCTCCCCTCGGTCTATACCCAAAAAACTTAAAAATAGCATACTACAGGGACACAGCCACATCAATGTTTATAGCAGCACAATTCACAATAGCTAAA